AGAGAATTAAACTGTCAAATCCACTTGACTGACAAACGCAAGGATCTGAGTTCAATCCCCGGTTCCACAAAAAAAAAAACAAAAAAACAAAAAAACAAATAAACTGTCAAATCCAAATCCAAAATTATAATACTGGCTTAATGATTTAGAAAAATAAACATCTCTGTAAAACTTTGGTAAACTGAAACAATTTTCTTATTTCTTTTAAATGTATTAGTCCAAGGTCTCACTACATAGCTCAGAGTGATTCCCTGTTTTCAGCCTCCCCAGCACTGGGATTACAGGCGTGTGCCACCACAATGGGACTCAGTCACTGCTCAGTATGTGATACCAGGGATCAAACCCCAGTCCCTGCACTTGCCTAAGCACACGCGTACTCCACTGATCTATCTCTCCAGCCCTTACCAATTTTCCTTTAAGGAAGCATATAATAATTTTGACCAGTTTAATATTTTTATAAAAATGTTATTCAGCTGATATATACACGCAGCTAAATGTATTTTCCCAAGCACTTAAGTGAAATAATTTATTGGGACTTTCATTTTCATATATGAGATACTGTATAATATCAAAACTTAAATTGATAATAAAAATTTCCTTCTAGACAGACCTATAAATGTGCATTTTCTCCAACAATTATTGTGAAATTACAATGGTATAAAACATTGCATTTTATTAGTATTCATCAATAATTAAAGTTCAAAGGAAATAAGATCCTAATTGCAAGCATCTTGATATCACATTGCTCTCACCCAAGTTATGCACCTTAAATTCACTAATTTGCTGTAGAGGAAGTCATGCCCATAAAAGAAACGTTTTGGGGAGATAGGAAATAATTTAGTAATTAGTAAAAAATGTTTATAAGAATTCCTGAGAGATCTTAGGAAGATATTGCTAAAAGATTCCTTAAATGGAAAAGTCCAGTACAAAAAAGAAAAAGTAATTAGTACTTAAATCTTAAGCAGAAAGAAGGACAAAATTAAATCTAACCCCACTCATCTGTATTTTCTAGTGTCAAAGCAGGAAATGATAAAATCAGAAAGATACATGCTTTGGGATATGTTTGTACATATATATATATATATATTATACACAGCTACCTGGTGCTCACTCCCGTGGCATGTCCTCAGTCCCCGCTTCCAGTGTAATCCCTCAAGAGAATTTTGTTTTTTCTCCTTTGGGCTTAGGTATCCTATTTACCTGTATGTTGGGTGAAAAACAACGGATCCTAGTAACTCATGGTAACAAATAAAAGGTCTTATTATTCGTATGAGGCATTTCTATTTTTAAACAAAGTAGAGCTGTTGTATGTAAAACATTAGACAGAGAATAAAGTCTTAATAAAAGTATTCTCTTTACCCATCTCTGATTCTTTCCTTCATAGGGTTTTCCAGAGGCATTATGTACTCCAACTAAATCTTAGCAATGTGTGCAGCTGATTGATCCCTGCTCTGCACTCCTTGAATGTAGATGCTGGTAGGAAAGCTGTACAGGTGGTTAGGCTGGATGTGCAGGTGCTTGGGTCTGTATCCCTCAGCAAGCTTTCAGCAAGCCACACTTAGTGATTGAGAATCAGTGACATGTTCACCGTCCTTCTTCCTAGGAATTTCACTCCAGGAGGGAATTGCAAACTGCCATGTGAATTGAAACACTTTTGGAGACTTTCTCATGGTTCTTAACGATGTCATGACCATTCAGCTGCCCCAAGTTGCAGCCCAAGCAGTCCCTAAATCAGGCAATCTACAAAGCTGTCGTGAGTGCTGGCTCTATGCCAGCTCCTGCCTTCCTGGGAGTCTTGAGTTAGGCCAGGAGATACTGTTGTTAATCTTAAAAGAGCAGAGGTTCTGAATGGAAGGACTGTCACAACTAAGTTCTTTTCTGTGAAAAGTGCTATCAGCTTCGGACAGAGCTTTGGTTGCTTTCTATCTTCGTGGCCTAAACATAGTACAGTGATGTAGGAGGTTGTGTGTAGAACCAGCCTCTACATCTTGCATGACATCTTCTCCTCAGCACAATTTACACCTATGCTATTGGTTAAGAAATGCAGTGTAGGGCCATGAAAATAAACCTTCTGAACAAAGCTGAGGTCAAACAAGCTTACAGTAGTTAATAGTGGCTTCCGTTCAACCTGACTGTTATTTCTTGTTAACCATTTTTAAACACCAACACATAAAGGGTTAATTTTGATACCCACAACAAATGGGATCTGAGCTTCAAAGAGACCTAATCCAGTTCCTAAAAGCAATGCCAGAAGATAATAATTCTCCCAAGTCTCTGTAAAGAAATTTTGATTAAAACTAAACGAACACCAAAATCTCCACCTTATTTCTAAATAAAAGGAG